AGTTCTGGTTTCAGATTTCCATTTATTTTAAGAATCATCTGAATTAAAGTAAAAAAAAAAATCTGGCCTCAGTATCTCTTTGCTTGATGGCTCTTTTATACTGATTTATATATTTGATTCCAGAATTACTTAGCAGCTGGGTATTTGCCACCAGATTAAACTAAGCTCTAGGCAGTTTTTAAGCCATCTCTCGGGGCACATTCACGAGGGGCTTGATCTGCTCTTAATCTTAATTAAGAGCATACCCCTCTCTGACAATTAAAAATCTGCTAGTTTAATAAAAGTAGAAAATCTAGGAGAAACCTTAAGGTACACTCTGTTGCGATGGCCTTTGGAATGGATTTATCTGAAAGCATACCATGCGACTTCTACCTATATAGCTTGCTTATCAGAATGGTCTGTCATTCTTTTCCCATTTGAATACTAGAGATATGATTTGCCCTTTCCCAGACTTTACAGGACTTTGCAATGGCCCATAAAAAGATAAAGATCCCCACGAGGCCCCCAACTCATTTCCTAGTGAATACACGATTCATCCGTGCAATTTTCTCCGGCAACATTTACAGAAATGATTTTCCATTGCTTTTCCTCCAAATGTTTTTTTTTTTTAAGCTTTCCAGTCCAGCCTGCAACCTTTTAAGATTCCTTGACCAGCCTGACTCTTAGAAGCCCAGACAATTTTTTTGCTGGTAAAAACATTAAAAGAGAATGCTTAAGAGAGGTTTTATGTGGTCTAGCCAAATTAAACTGCTCAAAAAAACAATTGCCCCCTGCAGTAGCAATTGTTCTCTCTCCTTACAGTGGTACTGAGCAGCCCTTTGTCATAAAGGCAGGAGTCCTTTGGTAGAGGTGTTTAATGTTATGGACAGATAGTATAATGTGTTATAAATAACTGAAAGGGGTAAAGGAATGGATACTTAAAAACTGATGAGGTTACACAGGTGCTAAACGAATGGGCCCTTAATTGTTAAGAGTGACACATTTAGCAACGCTAATGGAGATACCCAGTGATTTGTCAGCTAGCCAGTAAATGGTGCTCTCTTCCTCAGAATTGGCAAGACCGTGTCAACGAGGTGAACTTAGAATGACTTTGTCACTTTGAATGTACACTAATCAGCATCCATTAAAATGAAATATTTTGTTGTCCACCGGACCCTGCACTCCCTGAATAGCTCAGAATGGCACGAGAAAATATTTCTGTCTCTTCCAATGAGATGGGTGCAACCTCTTCTTAAAATCTTCCTTCTATCATCTCAGAAGGCAATGGGTTATACAGGTCGTCCTTGACTTACAACAGTTCGTTTAGTGACAGTTTGAAGTTACAAGGGCACTGAAAAAAAGGGACTTGTGACCGTTTTTCACACTTACGATTGTTGCAGCGTCCCCATGGTCACGTGATCAAAATTCAACTGCTTGGCAACCAGCATGTATTTATGACGGTTGCAGCGTCACGGGGTTGTATGATCCCCTTTTGTGACCGTTTGACAACCAAAGTCCAAAGGTGATTTTCCAAAAGACAACTGGAATGTCTTAGGTTTTTTTTTCTAGTAAACCTTTCACATCTCATCCAAGAAGCTTTTTCAGTTCCATCCAGTTGCCTTTTGAAAAGCACCTTTGGGAATAATAAAGGAGAATATTTGTAGCTCGGGGTTGAAATGAAGGGGTCCTTGGTGCTCTCTGAGCTTGCTTGTTTTCTTGCAGATCTAGCACTGCTGATGTTACCTAGTTGGGTCATGAAACGTCTGCAAGAAAACAAGCAGACTCAGAGAAGACCAGAAACCTTTGGGACTACTTATCCTGCTATTTTAGTAGAAATAAGTAACATGTTTTCGGGTATTTGGTAGTTTGATGTTTTATTCTTATTTATTTTTCAGTGTAATGCAAATCTAACGTTGTTCCTTATCTTTATTTAATCCTGGATATTTAGTCATACCCTTCCACATTCCATTGTCGTGAAAGGCAGGATGAGTCAGAGCCCTACCTCTCAGGGTGGGTTCAGGGGAGGTAGATAGTGCCACTTGGAAGTACCAAGTCCTGACTCCAGAAAAGAGGCAGGACTAAGTTACAAAGGTTCCCAGGTCTTCTGAGAGAAAAACCTCCAGACATGTCGCTCTGCAGATTCAGCTGTTTTGCACTGTGCAGTCACAAGTTCAGGTGTTGTCTGTGGAGATTCTCCCATCATCCGGTTGTCCCAAAGGTGATTTTCTCCAAAAGGCAACTGGACCTTCTTGGGTGGGTTTTTTTCCCCCCTTAGAAAACATTTGGTGTCAGCGTTCCGAGTAATGCACTCATCAAAAGCAGAACTCTGAGGCAAGTAGGATTCCTCAAAGAATGTGTTGATTGGATGCATCAAATCAGCACAGCCAGTGAAACCCAACTCTGGAAGTTTTTCCCCCCCCCAGTTATGACCAAAAAAAAAATAGCAATTGATCCCCTCCCCTATTGTCACAGGTCATTATTGCCCATTAAGATGTTTGTTGGGCTCCTTGGTCAACTTCCTGCCTCCTTCAACTGGCACCTGTGGATTTGACCTTGGTTCCCGTGAGCAAGCTTTTTGTTTTGACTACAAGCTAGGCTGTTATTTCCCCCGCCCCCACAAGTTCGTGGCAACTATGAGGCATCAAAAGATGGTTTCATCCAGGTTCCCTTCAGAGTTGTCCTTTCGCTTCTCATCCAAGAAGCTTCTTTGGGGGAAAAAATTACCTTTGGAACAAGTTAAGGTGTTGATACACTTCCTTTTAAACCTCTAAATGGCTTAGGAATTGTATGGTAAAGATACATATTTTTAACCCTCTGTTGAATGTGAGCCTATTTACTTTTTCTTTCCCAGCATCTCTTGAAAAAGCTCCCTGTCTTGTCCCCAAATGATTCTTCATTTGCTCCCAATCCCTGGTTAGCAGCCATGTCAATTTACATCTTCGTTGTGTGAGAAATTCTCCAACAGCACATTTGTGAAAAAGATCGTGTTTTTGAGCAGGAGTCGGTCCTTTTGCTTTGCTCGCAGTACATGATGTTCCTGACTGCTTACATCTACGTGGGCAGAAGCCTGGTGTACCGGAAATAGCTGCTGCTTTTATTTTATTTTTTTAGCTTCCTGCACTCACTTTCATAAATACACAACTAAATTTAGTTTATTTAGACACGAACTTGGGACTTTCAGAGTTAAGTCATATGTACCAGGCTTATTAGTTTGAAGTGTGAAATACATAATGCTTGCCGCCTATTGTGGATTATAAACCTCGGTAAATCCGGTTTGGCTGAAATACAGCCTCACTTGAAGCAGACTTGAACAAAAGGCTGCTTCATCAAAAAAAAAAAGTGGAAGTGTTTTCTTGCTTTTCAGCTGCAAACTGGAGGAAAGGTACAATTGCTTCTCACAGAGTTTACACAATATGCAAACCTATCTTCTCTTTTATTTTTATTTTTTGTTTGGAAGACCCTGGGTTAGGGTCCAGATTATGGTTCTATTTCTTTTGTTACTTTTGTGTTTTGTTTTGTTATTAAACAGGCAAGGAAGGGCTGATTAAGCCAACCACCCTCAACATGGCTGGGAAACAAATTCTTGCCTCAGCCTTCCTTAATATTAAGCCACTCTCTGGATTTAATATTACATACACTGTACAGGGATCCCCTGGTATTTTCTCGATAAAGGGCTTGTGTTAGTTAGATTGTAATTCCTATTAATTTTGCCACATTGTGGAATCAGATGCAAAGGATGAGAGTTGTAATCCTGCATATTTCCTCCTTCATTTGCACGAATTTTAGAACGTTAATACATTCCCTACCAATTGGGAGCAAGCTGCAATTTTTACTACTAACTTTCTTAAGGAATTAATGGAATCTACATGCCTACTCTTTGTAACAGACACAACAGTTGGCTTTTTGATGAAGTTGTCCTCCTCCTCTTATAATGATTGAGTTCAAGGTGAGATGGGAATGATTTCAAGTCTTCATAAGAGTTTAATGGCAGTACCTTCCTTATTCACTTTTTGCAACAGACAACCAAGTCACTGACAACCAAATGAAATTTTGTTGCTTGTTCCTAATTTTTCCATTTGCATTTAACTACTTTTTCTCTTTGTGACTCACTCACTTTTCTTTCTTTCTTTCTTTCTTTCTTTCTTTCTTTCTTTCTTTCTTT